ATGACTCAGTAAGACATAATAAACTCAACTATAGTCATGTGGGGTATCAAATGATTCAATATGAAAAAATAAATTCAACTTGTCATGTAGGATATCAAATGACTCAGTACGACAAAATAAACTAAACTATAGTCATATAGGGTTTAAAATAACTTAAATAACTTATTATATTTACTCTAAATTTAACTATTAATTCAATTTTTGATATAAAAATTTGTATTCTAATTATATATAACTTATTTTTGCTGCTTTATTCAAATCTAAGAATTAAACAATAAATTTGAAATTTTGTACTTTTGCCGCCATTTTATATATGTGCTAAAGATATATAAATTTTTATACTACTGATCTATAATTTATTTTTGATGCATTATTCAAATTTATACTTTAAATTTTTTTCTCAAAATTTTTTTCTTTGACCGCCATTTTCTCTATGTTTCTGAAGAGATATCAAAATTTTAATGCTTATCCTTTTATACTTTATTTTTGATGCGTAATCCGAATCTGAAGTCAGAATTTCAAAATTCAATCAAATGCGGACAGAAGGACATATAGAATTCATATAAGTACTCCTTTCAGGAGTTCGTAAATATAGAGTATATTCAATATCTTGTCTCATAATTATTCAAATAATGTAAAAAATACTGTAATATATTATATAAAGTTAGTAATTACTTACAGTAAGAAGTAATTAGTTATTAATATTACAAAAACAATATTTAGTACTACAGTACTACTACTACTATATAAATGTTTTTGTTTTAATATAATGTTTAACACAATAAATAGATTACAGTATAAGTAAAGATACTTTGATATTGTATTAGTTATTGCCAATAAAAGTTAGCATGATAACTTTTTTTATTAAAAGTTAAACTTTATTTATTTAAGATTAGAACATTAGATAATTAGTATTATTAATAGTTTATAAGTATTTATTTATTTTATAAATGTTCATCTCATAAATTATAATTAAAAATAGTAATAACTATAAACGATAATTATAAACATATATATATTAAATTTATACTATTAATACTTAAAATCTTCAGAGAGTATAGGGTGGGTGTGCCTTTATAATTTATTGCATTTTTAAACTACATTTTTTTAAAATTTCCAAATTTAAGGGGTCAAGAGAAAATTCCGAAAAAATTCTCAAAATTCCCGAAAATTTTCATGTAAATGGCAAGAAATTCCGAGGAAAGTAGAAATATATTCCTAATAAATTCATTAAAATTTAGAAATATTTTATTAACTTCATAAAAAATTTAGTTTTAATTAAAATTATAAAAAGTAAAAATATTTCTGACTGAAATGCAAGTAGAAATAATTAAATTTTACAATATAATTTATTATTATTATTAATTGTATATAATATATTAATTATCTTAAAATATTTATCGAATTATAACATAATTACTTTTTTAATAAATAAATCATTTATAAGTTTTTCTGTTATATATTTTTATTAAAATAATGTTATGTTTAGATATATATTAGTTAAATACTAATTATTTCTGTTAATGTTTAAACACAAATATTTCTTAAATTAATAATTATTTTATTTTATTTTTACTAAACTTTTAAAAATAGATAATAAGTTAACATTTAAAACATAAAAATTATTTATAAAAAACATATAAATTAGAATATAAATAAATCAGAATTTTATATAAAGTAATAATAATTTCAATGTTCCTAATATTTTATTAATACTAAACTAATAAATATATAAAACTAAAGCTATATTTGATATAAAACCAAAATCCTATATTTAAAGGATTATGCATTTGTTGTGTTTATATAGTTAGGGACAATCACAGATCAGTTACTATTTAATAATTATGAATAAATGAGTTAAAGTTGAAATCAAATAAAACAATATATTGAATAATAGCTGTTAAGCCGAAATAAGCCCACAAACTTTATATTAAATTATATTGTTAAATAAAAATTGCATAAAAAATATTTAAATACTCATGTAATTTTTATTATCAATTATAAATAAAAAACCTATTTATGATATTATTTTTTATTATCTATTATTTTTTTTAATGGTCTCATTATCTAAAGCGATAAGATAGTTGACTAACACTATTGTTATTACTAACATTAAAATGCTCCGGATCTGTGGTTAGGGATATGCGAACGTAATGTTTAAAAATGACTAAAAATGCGAATAATTGTGAACATAGTGGGGTCTAGATTTCTTAAAAAGTGCGAACGTACTATGTGAATTACCCCTTAATTCAAATTCATTTAAAGATTATTAAAAGTCAATCGTTATGTAATATCTATAATATTTAATATTCTCTATTCATTACATACTTCTAATGTTATACATTTATAATATGAAATATTTAAAAAATATACATAAATTTAAAATGCCGTTCAGAAGTTCATTGGCAATGCTTTAACATTTAATTAGTTTATATTATAAAATTATATTTGAAATCAAATTAATGTATATTTCATGTTAAGCTTTGATGCTTCAATCATTTTGTATGAATTTAACAAATAAAAAATATTTGAACACTTAAAATAACATTACACCAAATTATAATATCTATAATATAGAATCTATATTATAGATTCTATATTATTCATAATATCTATTATAATACTGTTTTATAATATAAATAAATTTTAATTTTAAAAAGACAATACTTTAACAAAAAAATGAAACTATAAATAATAATTTTTATTTTTATAAAAATAGAAAATGTTATACTATTACAGTAATAATTATCAGAAATTTATAGTTACAATATAATAAAATTTAATTATATACATAACCATTACATTTAATTTTCAGTTAATTTTCAGTATCATTTTAATATATGTGTATATAATATAAAAGTTCAAATATCAAATAACATATTGAAATTCAAAAAATATATATTATATTATAAGAATATAAAAAAATGAGAAGATATATACCATTTGCCAGATTATGGCTTTATTTGATGTGAATAATAAAAGATAAAATATAACTTATATTTTATAAGAATATAAAAATAAAGTAAAACAATATTTTTTTACTAAGTGTCAAAACACAATAATTTACTGCTAAAAATTTTATACAACAACAATATCTATAAACAGTTTATGTGTCGAAATCAGATTTTGAAAAAATATATATACAGTATATATAATATTATAAAATACAGTGTATTGTATAAAAACATATATCATAGTAAAGAAAGTATTAGGATTATAGTTATAGATATATTTAGTGTTTAGAAAAAGAAAATAAAAACTTGTAATAAAATTCATATAATATATAATATGAGGTATAAAGTGTTAGATTGTATTTCTCAATCTATATTTTTCTCTTAAAAATATAAAATAAATATAAAAAACAATTTATCGGCTCTTCGTTTGAATGGAAAGTAGTGTTAAAGAACTGATCTTTATTTTTATATCTCAAACAACAATATAATCTAAATCTCAAATTCCAATCACTATTTTCTATACAACTTTTTTGTTGATTTCTTACGAGAGGTTTGGACTCAATTTTATTAAGTTTTTGGCTCAAAATCTAATGTTTTATATTATTTCAATTCACTTCTGTTTTTGACAGTTTTTTCCCAACACTTCACTTAAGACATCTTCATTTTTTCAAAATATTTGTGACCAACAGTTTCAATGATATTAAACGTGTTTAGAAAGAGAGAAAGGGTTTACCATTATTTTACAATTCAATGAATCGACTAATGGATAATTTTTTATTGTTATTTTTTATCATTTATTTCTCATATTTTATTTTACTAATCATTTAATTAAATAAAATGAAGCAATCATATAATTTAATACAGTAGAGTATAGTAATTTTATACAATATTAAAACCTTAATAACAAACACACACATATATATATACTGTATAAATATTAGGCTTATGCAAGGTTTTGAATTTTGAGGAGGTATAGGGTGGGGTAAAATTTAAAAAAATGTTTAAAGTTTTTCATTGTTTTTCATAATATTTCAAAACATGTTCATAATATGTATATATATATCTACATTTTAATAGATAATTTTATGTATATTTAAATTATTATTGCTCTTTTATGTGTTATTTTTGTTTTTGATTACATAAAAATTAAAATATAATTTAATATTTTTATCTAAATAAAAATTGATAATTTAACTTTTTGTTAAAATTTGAAACTTGTTTGAAATTTGTTTTATTTACTGTAAATACCATAAAAGATTTTGTTTACTAAATAAAAAGTATAAAATTTATTATTTTTTAAGATAATATAAATTTCAATAAAAATTTGTTTTTTCAAATTTTCTATTGTCTAATAATACACTTTTATAATGTCTAATAATATACCATTAAATTAGAGTTTATTTGGGTTTTGATTCATTTGAGGTCAAACTTTATGTCTGTAAGGGTAGGGATGACAGCACTGGTTGATGAAGGAAAGGGAGCAATAGAGAGCTGGTTTGTAGGCAAAGATGATGTTTCTATGGTTACCGTCAAGATTATAGTAGTGTAGACTTTTGTGTGCTTTGAGCCATACATTGACTGTTCATTGCATGTCATGCCTCGCATCCAATTACATGACTATACACTCTGTGAAGTCATCATTTGAAAACTGAGTCTAAGTTTTTTAAAGACCACTTATTCAATAGACTATAAACTCATATACAAAACAACTTATACTGTACTGTAAAATCTTTCTTAATTTAAGTTAATATATATTATAATTTATAATATTTTCTTTTATTTATTATTCATCAACTCGTTATAAAATTTATGAAAAAATGAAATTTTATTGCTATTAGTTGTGTTTGACTAATAAATTGACTAATAATTTATGTTTATGTCTTCAAACATATTGTCACTTCAAACACGAGATACACAATAATCAAAACTATATTTTCTATTTGTTTTATCACTTGTTTTGAAACTTTAGGCCATAAGTTATCTGTCTGTCTGTCTGTTTGGTATATTATGTGACAACGACAAGACATATATATATATATATATATATCTGGTAAACATCTAAATATTGATTTGTGGCAACAATTTATCAGCACTTGTGGTGACATGACATCAGTGCTTCTTTTCACCACTCAATCTAACCATCAGTTTGTCGTCTCGATGTAAATACTATTCAATTATTGAAAAAACTATTTTCTTTTAATAAAAGAAAAAACAAAAGTGATATTATAGTACAGTATTACCGATTGAAACCTCTCTCAACAGTATTTAATAAAATGCTTATCTTTATCATACAACTCATTGTTCATCAATTTATCACTTGTGTAACACCATTGCCTCCAATCATAAGAATAGGTAATTAAGATTTTATTTGCCATAAATTATTCAAAAACAATATACTCGTCTATGTTTTGCAATTTGTAAAGTATTATATTAAATCTCATTAATTTTAATTATGGTTTATTTAATATCTTAATAATAAGATTTACATTGATTTGTAATTATAGTCACTATTATTAGTCTTTCATTATAACATTGTTGAGACATATTGTATATTGTATTACATGAATTAGATCTGATCTAAATCTATCATTAATAGATTACTGTATAATTTATATACTATACATATAGTATATATAATATTATATAGATATATCTTATACTAATAATATATAAGTATTTTATTATATAAGCATACAATTAATGTAAGAAATTTTATTAATATTTATAGAAATAAATGAAATTTTTGTTGAAATAAAATAACACTCATTTCCCTTTTAATCTATAAATTACTTTTTGAATCACTCGTCAAAATAAAAATTTGCATTAAATTAATTATCGATAATAATAACAAAATATATTAGGCGTGGTTCACATATTACGTTCGCACTTTTTAAGAAATCTAGACCCCCTCCCCTATGTTCGCATGTAATCATTTAAAAAAATCACGTTTGCATGTCCCTAACCGCTACTCCCCCCTCCACCACAAGAAATAAAATATCTAAATGCGAACGTTCTTAAAGTCTCTACCCCTCCCCTACCCCTCGCAAAAGTTCGCTTTGGCTAACCCCCCTCCCCTCAGGTGCGAACGTAATATGTGAACCACGCCTTATGGTTTTTAGTAAAGTTATTAATAGTTTACACGATATAAATGGATTAAACATTATAAATTAACAATAAATTTAAGTCGTTTTTAAACTGTATACATTAAAATAAATTTTTGTTTGTTTAAATTATTAAAATTTAATTCAATATCTTTAGATAATATAATATAATTCTATAAATTTTTTAATTATATTTTAAGTATGAATTGTTTAAAGTTTGAATATAAAAATGATTGTTATCTAAAAAAACATTAAAATATCTAATCATCAATAATTTAATAGTAATCAATTAAAATTATAAAGTAATTTAGTAATACATGTTATTATGATATATATTTTTAATTTTATAAATAACCCGCTTTTTAAATAAAGATATTCCCAAAAAAGTAGTCACAATTTTTTATATAAGTAACTGATGGGTGAAACATTTTTGTAAAATATTATTATTATTACCGTTAATATTGCAAATACTTGAACATCAAATTGTTTATATTGACTTATAATAAATTATACATTATAATTATTATAATTATAAAACTGATTAATTATAAAATAATAATAATTTATTATTATTTACAATAATACGTTAATTAAAAAAATAATAAACAAAACACTTAAAATTGAATATATTTAGATAAATAAGTCAAACATTGTCTATAAAGTGAAAGGTTTCATAAATCATTTTCTGTATAAAAAGTGACTTATTTTCTGATCGCTGACCAAAACACGACTCGTTTGTTACAAAAATCAAATTATTTCTAACATTACTTTTAGCACTAATTTTATAATAAAGTTGACATTTGTTTTATACTCTGTTATTCAAGTTATAAGTTATAACAATATACTGTAAAAATATGTTATAAATCTAGAAACCAATGATACAAACATTTTTATATAATTATTTGCTGAGTGCAATACATTAATAAGTAATCATATGATAGTTTTTTTATGGCTACTTACTTATAATTTATAGTTATTTATTTATCACATGGTATCACATCGATATAATAAGTAAAATAAAAATTGTATTTATATTTATTATGTAAACCATGTTATTTACACATTAAAACACATAAATACTGTAATATTATTATAGACAGTATATGAAAATATTATTAAAAAAAACTAAACGGTAGAGAATCAGTTCAATCAATTGCTTATAAAAGGCTATTATTTATTGCTTGTATTCATGATTAATATATTTATGTAATCGTTTAAAGGAATAAAGTCTATACACTTTATTTTTCTATACATATTTATAAATGTATATAATTTATTTATAACATAAATTAAACAAATACTGTACAATACTGTATTATATCTGTATTCAGTATTATAACCAAAATAATAAAAAAGAAAAAAGATTGCAAAATTATTTTTATGTAATAATTAGTTATTTTTTTTAATTATAATATATTGTAATTAAATTACTCTCATATATAAATAGCTATAATATAATTTATATGTTTATCTTTGCAATTTGTCTAAAAAATGGTCAAACAAAATAAAAAATCATCATGATCAATTTAGTGGAAGGTAGAGTCTAATAGTTAGACTCTAATTCATGTAATTTATGAAAATCTTAATGTTTTTTTTATAAAGGGATAACATATGCTTGTTGTATGACAGCAATAGTAGTTAGTTTTTCAATAGATATCAATAAAAGTAATTTTAAGCAATTTTAACTAACACACACACACATGCAAAATAATATGCATATTATGATAAAATATTTTTTATAAAAAATTAACATTATATTAGACATTATTTTATATTTAATACAATACTGTATATATTTTAGCAATAATATCAGTTATAGACTATACAGTACATAGAATATCACAAATCTAATTAATTTTATATCTTATTCTATTTTGGAGACTATTTGTATTAAAAAGTTCAAAACATATTTGAACTATAATTTATATATATATACAATATATACTGTAATCATATAAAGTTAATCTCATTAATTATATTTAAATTTTTATAAATGTGTTGCCATATAAATCCTAATTGAAAAGTTTGAGATAATCATATTAAATTTAAAATTGTTAGCAAGTTTACTTTTTTCAAATAAATTTTTATAAAATTATTAGACTGCAAAACATTGATTATAAACTGTTTATCACATATATTAGCAAAATATTATTCATTTTTTAGTAAATTATAATTTATGGATTATAGCGGAATATTAAGAATAAATATTTTAATTTTTATTTTATAACATAATAATAATTTATTATATTTTATTAGTCTTAAAATAAATGAATTGAATGTTAAAAACTATTTTTTATAAAACTCATGACATCCCTGAAGGGAGAGATTTTTATAGATAAAAGAAATACAACTAAAAATTTCTTCAAAAAACTATTCATTTTATTGATTGAAGATTATAATAAATATATACAGTATATACTGTATAAATAATAAAGCGATACTTCATTAAAAAGATGATATTCATACACTTAATTTAAATTGCTAATAAATATTAATTAAGAAAAAACTATAAATTATTTATAAATTAAATAAACCTTTAAAAAACAAACAATCTTAATTTATATTAATTGTCTCAAAGCGTGCAATTTAATGATATATCAAGTAATAATAATAATAATAATAATAATAATAATAATAATAATGATTGTAGTAGTAGTTGATATAGTTTAGAGAAAGAGAGATTGAAGCAGAAAAATATATGAAATATTGCAAAAACATTAAGACATTGGAGAATAATACAAATGTAATGTGATTTGTATTTTTGACTATTAGGAGGACTGTTTGGTGCCAATGATACGGAACAGGAGTTGGCCTTTCATTTAGCCATCGATCGCATAAACTCTGATCGAAATATACTCCAGAGTTCAACACTAGTGCCCGAAATACAGCGAATCACTGATGGAGACAGCTTTCACACCAATAAAAAAGGTATATTTTACCCAATAATTACAATTTTATATGAATCTAATAATCACTTTAAGATTTTCAAACTAAAAAGTTATTTAAATAATCATTTATAATATTATTTCTTATTAAACTTTTTATGAATAATTTTATTTTATTTAATTGCAATATATTAAATAAATAACACATAAATAAAATTTATMGCAAAATAAATGGAAAAAGATTTAAAAAATAAAAAATTTTGATAACTAAAGTCAATTTTATTATTATAGTTTATTTAAATTTGACATTCAAAAACATATTTCTAATTATATATTTTTCTAAATAATATAGTTAATATTTAATTATTTTAATAACAAGAACTGTTAATAAGTTAATTTAGTGAGAAAATTATAATTGTAAATATATATAAAATTTTAAATAGGTTAACAAATTAGAATAAATAGATAATTTGTTTTATTTATGATAAAATTTATTAATATAAAATCTTAACATATAAATCTATTTATTTATACTTATAAGATGCAATGTGTGTGTGTGTGTGTGTGTGTATATATATTGATCCTTAATTAGTACATTTGCAATAACATAATAAGAAATTAAATAATAATTAATTAAGACAAATCTAATATGTTATTGACAACAAATCCTAATGTTTATATCAAATTAACGTTTTTTCTCAATTGACGACATACGATATATTTTAAATAATTGATATCAATTGATAGTATTATATATAATGGTTTAATAAAATATTATAAATCTATAAATGTATTTAATGATTAGATTATTTTTTTACTATTTTTTAAAACTTTATTTATAATATAATAAATTAGTATAAACACATGTATTTATAAAAAATGAAACAAATAAGTAGTGTATAATATTTAAGTAATTGACTTTATTATTTTTGTAATAAACTTTTAAAATTAGCATTTTAAATTAACTAGTGAAATTTCAAAAATAAGTTTTCAAACAAATTAATTATACTGTAAATTATGATATTAATAAAAATATTAAAATATAATTAAATTTTAGATAAATATTTTTAAAAATTTTTTAAAAATACAATAAATTATTAAAAATTAAAATGTAAATTAATGTTAAATTGACTGAATTGTTATTTACTATCTTAACAAAATTTTGTGATATTTAATTATTGATATACCTTTTAGTTGAATTGTTTTTACCTATATTTTATTAAATAAATAATAGTTAGTGAAATATAATATTAAGCAAATTAAGAAAAAATTAAATAGATATACCATATGACATGAAAGTTACATATAATGAGAATTATAAAATAAAAATTAATGTCAATAAAAGCTATAAACTATGAATTAAATAATAGTTTATTTAATGGATAATAATGTATGAAATGTATACATAATATAAAGAAATAGTAATATAATAGACATATAAATCGTGTGGAATAACAAAAATCCAAACTAATGGTCACAAATGGTAATTGTCTTCAACGACCAAATAGTAATAACTATTATTAACTCTCCAACCAATTCCTAACATTCCGTATAAAAGATAACATTAGAAAATATAGATAAATATATTGGACACCATATCTCATGAGACATATATTTATCGACTATTATACTATTGTATATTTACAATATATATTTATATAAACTATTATATTTAATTTTTTGTTGTCTTCAAATTTTTTATTAAAATTCATTAAATTTATTTGAAATTATTTCAAATTTACAAAGAAATAATAAATAAATTAATTTACTGTACAATTACTGTATTGTCTATTTAGTAGAGTTTTATGAATAAATTCAATCACTTAGAAATGTTTAACAAAACATATTTTTATTGACAAACAAAGATCAGAATTTTGAAACTAAAATAAAGTGACTATTTGTAGCACAAAACAAACAAATAAATATCTTAAACTAAACAAAGGAAATGCCAATCATTGCATATTAGATGAAAACATCAATTATCCATTGCATACATATGTGAACATCATTGTCTATTAAATACATGTCTATTGAATTTAATTTACAGTAAACTTGCATTACTTTTAACATTTTCAGTTTACAGTAATAATGTTAAACGCAATACATTATGTACAGTATTATTAGTTTACACATTCATACAGAACATACTATATATATATTATACTGTAGTATATTCTAATAAAAACTGTTGAACTTTTTATATATTGAAATATATTGAAAAAAAAATCATTTCGTCAGTTATTTAGACATATTTGTAAAAATATATAAATATTATTTAGGAATTTTTATGAACTTTTTTTTGGTTATATTATTTATGTAATAAATTAAAGTGAATTTTATCACTTTATGGTTTCGTCCAAATGGATTCATTCAAGTGAATCCTCACAATTGTATTTAATGTAATAATCATAATATTGTGCCACAAATTTGATTGAATTTTCAACACATGAATGATGTATAATATATATATTAATTTTAAGGAAATTAGTGTAAGAATTGGCAAATTTGTTTACTACTGTATTATAGTTAATTGTGAATTTAAAAGAGAAATAAACACAATATATATATATATATATTAGATATTGCAATAATTAGAGATACGTTGAATGTCATTGATTGCAATTACTATCTGAATGTCTCTATAATTATTTTTTATGTTTGTGTCGGTGTTGTTGCTGTTGTTGAGAATATTTTTCTTTGTCGTTGCTATTGATGTCCAATGATATGTCAAATGTTGAGACCAAATCATTTTCAGATGCAACACATATAATAGAAAAAATTATTATTATTATTATTTTGCATTCATTGAGAAATACAATAATTTTTTTCTGACTGCGATTTCCATTACATTACAAATGATTGCATTGACAGTCATTTGACTGAACATTATTACCGACACATTCTTCAAACTTCTTCTTTCGGAATCTAATTCTTTAGGGAATTGTTTTTGTGTCGGGAATTAGTGTTTCGTCAACACATATACTGTACTGTATATTACATTTGTATATTCAACAGAAATCCATTAAATCTATATTTTTATATCTATAATATTATATAAATTATTTTTATAAAATATAAATACTTTATGCCCTAATTTATCTATTGATTAGTTTTAGGTTAGCATTAGATTAGTTTATTATTTATAAGTTTAATGTATATTCATAAATGCATTTTGAAGGTTAAAAAAGTCATCAGTTTTACTATAATTTTTTAATTTAACTATATATAGTAGATTTAACAGATAGTAGATTTAGTCTTATATAATAAGTTAGTTAATAATTTATTTGAATATGCATTATATATTAATTATTATTAAAAAAAACAATCAGAAATAATTAATAATACAATAATTTTAATATTTTATAGAAATAAAGTTAATTCTATTGAAAATCTCAATGTTTTATTTAAACTAATAATAATATATAACGTTTTTTAAACATTATTTTCATAAAATAATTTATAATAATCAAAGTTTCAAATATTATGTTGTGAATTTTATAATAAATAAATTTTCTAAACTTTATTTATTTTCACAATTTTCTTAAAATTAAACATTATACAATTTTTAAATATCACTTATTTTTATGGTTTTTGATGTCTAGTGTTTTAGATTTTATTATAAAAACAAACCTTTACATAATGTTATATAATATAAATTATGTAATATACAGTAAATAATCATTTAAGCACAAATTGTTATTACACATATAAATTGCTATAATTATTATTATAATGAAAATAAATGACATTGGTTAAAAATATTAAACATAATTTGCATAATAAACAAATTTAATCTATTATTTAACAATTTAATAATAAATTAAACTTTAATATACAGATCTCTTTTTTAACTATAAAATAATGCACAAACTTACTTAGATTAGTGTTTAGTGTATTTAAAATAGTTGTTTATTTATTTATTTTTATATGTATTATATAACTTAATTAAGATTTGTAATTAATATATTTACTACCTATTTAAGTATTTAATGATAATACTGTAGTAAATATTTACTGCCATTTTATATAATTAAAATATCAAACAAAATTTAAATATAATTAACTGATTGATAAAAATAAAAATTTTAAAAATGTTTTTATTTTAAGTTTATGCTAATATTTACATTTTATTTAACGTTAATTAAAAAAAACATGTAATGTCAACAACAATTTAATTAATGTTAGATTCATTATAAAAGTCAAACTGATTATTAATTTAATTATTACAAATTGCATAAATTTTTAATAATATAAAAATAATAAAAATATTTAACTAATATTTGATTTATTAATAATAATAAATAGTTTATTTCCAAATAGTTTCAGATTGAATGATAAATTCTAAATGTAATAAAACATAAAAACATATACACAACAAATATATTATTGCTATCATTTTTTTGACACTATTTCTTATGAAAACATAACAGTTTTGACGTTTATGTCAAATATTTATTCCTAATATTACTGTAGATATCTTGACAAAAGTTAACCAATGGTTATGGATTTTGAGTGTTTTCATTGGACTATTTTTGTTGCAATTTTCTCACTGATTGTAACAAATATCATATTATGTTTTTTTGTTGATTTTTATCACTAAATTATAGTTTGCATTTACATATATCTATTGCACTCGAGTTTCGCATAACTAAGTAAATGTAAATATTTTTGTCTTTTTTTATATTTTTTATACTGTATTTATTATTATATACTGTATTCATATTTTGAATTATATTGAAAGCAGTAAAATGTTAGTAAAGTGTAATATTGTTTTGATATATATACATAATAATACAGTATATATTAAAGTTTATTAATAGTTATGAATAAATATAATTTATTTGTTATTTTTAAACTTATGATTTATTAATTTTTATTTAATTATTTGTACATATTTAATGTATAAATATTTTATTTTTTCGTCTGATATTGCAATGTAAAGCAAAATAAATAAATATAATGATATATGAGTTGATATACTACAGTATAATAATTAGATGATTTTCTTAAGTGGCCAAATAATATTGTAAACACTAAATACAA